AAGAGCTTTATGATTCAGATGACGAGTTTTACTATATCTGATAAACAACAAAACATCTTCCTTCTAGCTCACTTTCAATATCACTCAAATAATCCATCTTGGGATTTGATGTTTTGCGTGTAAATTGCCTGTTCGTAGTTTTAACATATTTGAACTTAGAAATGATTCAAATGTTCAGAAGTAACTTTTGTGTTTGAACTTCTCTTTTTGGATCTCCCCTTTTGTAGCAGGTTTTAGTCAATGAAGTTTGCTCTTTCTAGTTCTACAGCCCAAGATTGTCTCCCCTAGCGACTTGCCACATCGAATTTGGTTAAAAAAGAACTTAACAACCGGACCCAACTCAACCTAAAAATAAATGGTTGGTTGGATTGGGTTGGGTTTTCATTTTTGTAGCCAATTAGACTAACCCAAAATTTCGAGTGAATATTCATATTATAACCAAATGATATCGAAACCTTTTTAATGATTTATATTATAATGCTCGAAAAAGTCAAAAGTTCATTGTAACAGCTCCTTATTAGTCGGCACATAGTTTATTTAATCTTAATGATAATGATAAAATATATATTTTCACTATTATATATATATATATATATTTATATAGTTCCTTCCAAGTTCCAGCGCAGAAGACGATTGGCTGTCATTAATCTCCAGTTTAATCATTTAAGGACTCATCCTAATCCATATATAATGAATATTCTAATCTTTTATTTATATTATATATATTAAAATTTATTTCTCAATTACTCCTTATTTAATTTCATTTAAAATGGTTGGCTGAAAATTGAAATGCACGACAGACACTGCCACACTAGCGTTTACTTTACGGTTCATAAATTTTGTATTAAAAAAAAAAAAAAACGGTTAAATTTTGATACCGCATCTCCATTTTCCTAAAATATAATATTCAAATTTGAGGTAAAAATTCAACTTTTCAACTATATATAAAGAAATTTACCACATTATATATATATAAATAAATAAATAAATAATATATATATTATTTAATTAAAATGTGTCAATTTTTATTATAAAATAAAGGTAAAAAGAAAAAATGGAAGAAATAACACGTCAGATGATGATGGATAATGAGAAAAAAGGAAAATAATAAATAAATAATAATGGCCACCGAAACGGTTGAGATTGGGGAAGGGGCCGGGCAGGGGTAGAGCCGTCATATATTAAAATCCCAAAACCACTCTCACTCTTATTTTTAAATAAAGTAATAATAAATAAATAAATAATTGAATTCGTCTTCGTCGTCGTCCCCACTCACCAGCACCAGCACCAACACCAGCAGCACCACCACCATTGCCTTTTCACTTCCCTTTCTTCGTCAACATTTCGGCTACGAACCCTAGATTCTTCTCTCTCCTTTTTTACTTTGCGTCTCATTCAAGCCTTTTCGCTCTCACTTCGTTTCTGTTTCGGTTTATGTTTCTTTATTTGATTTTCATTTCACTGCCACGACACTGAATTTTATGCCAGCTTTTGATTCGTTTTTCCACGTCGTCCGGCAACACGGTCGTACTGTGCCGTGATTTGGATCTGTGGACGGTATGAGTTCCGCGGTGCCGCCGTCTTATGCTGCTACCTATGGAGCGGGAGGTAGTGGCGGTGAACCGGAGAATTTTGGAGATCAAGCTATGGAGTTCGTCAAAGCGGCTGGGGAGATGGCTATGGAGTTCGGGAAGGGATGTAGGGATATAGTGTTGCAGAGTTTTGGAGATAATGAATCGTATATTGTGAAGACGTTTGGGAAGGGATCGTACATTGAGAAGAAAGTGAGAGGGCCTTGTGAGAAGGTTTGTGGTAAATTGCGGTTCATCAATGACTACTTGCCTGAGGATAAGGATCCATTTCATGCCTGGATGGTCATACTGTCCGTTTCGGTTGTTGTTCTGGCAGGTGAAATTCTGGAGCTCGCTAGTGCTGTATCTCTGAAATTTTGAACTTCGTGTTTTTCGAATTTTACTTCGTTTTCGCGCTTCGAGCTGACTGAAGAATTTCATCTCAATCGCGTTTTTAATGGTTTCTTTCTCGTTTGCTGAAGAATTTCCTCTGAAAAGTCTCTTCAATTACTGGTTTGTTTTTCTGCAGTTTTAACTCTAAGTGTCCAACGCGATGATCTTCCCATCTCATCGATTAAGAAAGTTTACATACATCCTCCGAGCGCTAGGCGAGTAATGCTCCCCGACGGTAGATTCTTGGCATATAAGGAGCAAGGTGTTTCTGCGGACAGAGCTAGATTTTCAATAATCGGTCCTCATTCCTTCCTCTCTTCTCGGCTTGCAGGTTGTGTAGGGAGGAGCTTGAAATTTCGAGAAAATTTATGCTAAATTATTCCTGTATATCTTTGTGCAATCTTTTCTGTTTGTTAATTTGAACTTATTTTCATACTGTTCTTATCCTAAGGAATGCCTGGGCTTAAAACTTCACTGTTGGAAGAATTTGGCATTCGCTTGTTGACATATGATCTCCCGGGCTTTGGAGAGAGCGATCCTCATCCTCAAAGAAACCTTGAATCATCAGCAATGGACATGTCATTTTTAGCAAATGCTGTAGGTGTCAACGACAGATTTTGGGTAATAGGGTATTCCACAGGGAGCATGCATGCTTGGGCAGCTCTGAGGTATATTCCTGATAAACTTGCAGGTATGAACAAGGCAATGGCATTTTTCTTCAGTTGAATGCTCAAACTCAAAATTCAATGCAGAATGTAAAATTAATGAAACAAGCAACGACTTGTATGAACCTAGATTAAATTCTGTAAACCATTTTTGAATTGAATACATTTTCAGAGTTGCAATGACGATATGTTGGTTATAGAATCTCTGATTTAATTGACATCGTGCTGCAGGTGCTGCTATGTTTGCTCCAATGGTTAATCCCTATGATCCAAGTATGACCAAGGAGGAAAGACGTGCAACATGGAAGAGATGGAGTAGAAAGCGGAAATTTATGTACTTCTTAGCTCGAAGATTTCCTCCTGTTCTTCCTCTGTCTTACCGCAATAGCTTCCTGTCTGGGAAGCATGATCAGATTGATAAGTGGTTGGCATTATCACTAGGAAAAAGGGTGAGACCTCATCATCTACAATCACAGTTAGTTCATAATCGCGTTCCTTCTATTGAAAAATGTTCTTACCCATTATTGATGATTAAACATCTATGATATTGATATGCTAAGAACGTGTTCATGTTTCTCAAGTCTTGATTGAACGCCTATTATATGCTGATGTCCAATTCCATGTTTTGTTATGTTTTCATGTGTAATGTTTTAGTCCTAGACATCTAATGTCAAGTCTTTGCGCAAAAGATCATAGTTCTTGGTCCAAGCCTTTAGATTTTGTGAACTGGTATTCTTTGTCGAGAATTGTTGGGAGGGAGTTCTACATTGGCTAATTTAGGGAACGATCTGGGTTTATAAGTAAGGAATACATCTCCATTGGTATGAGACCTTATGGGGAAGCCCGAGACCTTATGGGGAAGCTCAAAGCAAAGTCACGAGAGTTTATGCTCAAAACGACAACATTATACCATTGTGGAGATCCATGGTTCCCAACAATATTTTCTTGAGATTTCACCGAAACCGAAACTTTACCCACGGAGAATTTAATCATCACTTTTTTTCAGGATAGAGCTTTAGTAGAGGATCCTATCCACGAAGAGTTCTGGCAAAGGGACGTAGAAGAATCAATCAGGCAAGGTAATACAAAACCGTTTGTGGAGGAAGCTACACTACTGGTGTCAGATTGGGGGTTCAGGCTTCACGACCTCAGATTACAGAAACGTGTAGTAAAATCTGTGATTCATTGGCTGAAGTCTTTGCTAGGTGATGTCCAAGACGACTTTACTGGCTTCCTTGGTCCAATTCATATATGGCAGGTAAGATTTTGATTGCCGATGTTCATCAGGTTTGATTACAAATTTAAAAGAAACCAATAGATTTAGATAGGAAGCAAGATAAAATCAACCAACGACGACACCATGACAGTATTGATTACAAATAACGAAGAAACTAATAGATTTAGATAGGAAGGAAGATAAAATCAACCAAATTTGATACTCGGATACTCGGTTTGATAACTCGCTACTAATTCTTTTTCTACTTCTGGTAAATCAAAAGGTAATCTCTCGCAAACTAAGGAGGAAAGACGAAAAATAACGAACCCTATTAGAAACAGTAGCAGTTTTCTAATTCCATCTCGTCTACTCATCTTTGTATTAAGATGGTATCGATGTCCATTGCCATATTATTAAAGTGGCTATTGATCACTTGAACTGGCTGATGAATGACATCTGACCAATTGTTTTTCAAATCCTAATTGGAGCTGTGAATTGTAATTTGGTTTGCCTCTCCCTTTTGATCTCATATGTTCATTCAAACAGGGGATGGATGATATGGTGGTTCCACCATCAATGACCGATTACGTTCATCGGATCCTACCAGGAGCTGCAGTCCATAAGCTCCCATATGAAGGCCATTTTACCTACATCTACTTCTGTGACGAATGCCACAGACAGATATTCACTACCCTCTTTGGAACCCCACAAGGCCAACTGAACAACTGTTCTGTAGATCAGACTTCCTCCGATTGCGACACAGAAGATCTCGACGTTCGAACCGTCGGTGATTCTGCCACAGAGTAAGAGATAGCTATGTTGTAATTCACTACAGATGATGTATATACCACACAACTGCTCCGTTGCTCCTCTACCAGGTACGCAGGAGAAAGAAAGTTCTCTATTTCCTTTTCATTTTTTGGAAAATTATGAGTTCAAGTGTAGTTAGGGGTCTAGTGAAGATGCTGTCAAAAGGGCAAGTTGTTCCTTGCAATAGAAATATTACCGAATCCGAATCTTCTGATTCTTAAACTTCGTTTACACTTTTACACTGCTTGGATGTCTCATTGAACACAAGATAATTCAATAAAAATTCAATTCATTATGACAGAAAATTTGTTCATTTTGTTAGTCTCTATTGATAGAACAGTTCCAAGATCACAAGGCTCATGGCAAATTTATTGAAAGAAACAGGTCCAGATATTGTTCATAACCTATCAATAAGAGATGAAGTAAAAGCAAATAGAGGTCAGACTATTCCCAGGCTTGACATCCTTTATCCACAGAGAGCAAGGAAGAAATTGAATGAATTCAAATGGAAAACTTTGCTCCTTCAACCACATCTAGCCCTTCGATCCAAGTACAAGGAAGCGGTTGAGACTTAGACGATCATCGTCTAACCATCTGTGGAAGGTAATATGGCCCTTGCCTCACCATCCAGAACAAGCTCGTCGCCATTCCTCAAGCATTTCGTTTGGAATTTCACCCTGAAACACATTCAGCAAGCACCAACTCAATGAAATGATAACTTGAAATTCGAATGAGAAGGTAGAGATTTGCCAAGAACAAGCTTATTACAGGTATCTCTTCTTAATTTCTCTCAAGTCGATTGCTTCAACCCGAACAATGATCGTCTCTCCGACGTAGACTGGTAACTTAAAATTCAAGCTTTGTGACACATAGATAGCTCCTGGCTACAATCATCCACATACATTAAAAGATCTCAAACAAGCGTGAGTGCCATTTTTCAGTCCCCATAAAGTTATGTGTGTAAGAAATGCAGACTATCTAGACTTACAAAATGAGAGGAAATGACATGAGGGAACATTGATGCAACAAGCATCCCATGAACAAGACGATCGTCGAATCCAGCACGTCGGGCTAAAGCAGAATCAAAATGCAGAGGATTTGAGTCATGACTCACTTTGGAGTATTCCAAAACATCTTCACTGGTGAAGATTCTGGTATGGCTCAAGATATCTCCAACTTTGAGCACATTAGAAGTTGAAGAAGAGAAGCATTTCAAAGAAGAAGAAATACAGGATGAGATTAAACCTCCCCTACTTAGCATACTTGTAAAGGGTCTATAAGTATCAGTCAAATGTCTGCCACAAACAAGCCTGTAACAAGAGAGCAAAGGGCAGCCATTAAAAGCACTAGAGAAAGGAATGTTCAGAAGTGTTTGTTTATACAACCAGGATGCTCAACGAAGTCGTTAAAACTTGGGTTTGGCATTTCATCAAACACCTTGTGGGCAAAGCGAGGATTCAAAGAACAAAGGGAGAAATGAACAAATTTGTAAAGTAAAAGAAAGCAGATTACCTGTAATTACCACGATTATGAGAAATGCTGTAGCCCTTTAGTTGTATTTTATAAATGGGTCCACTGAAGGATGGAGGGAAGCTGAGTTGTTGTACTCTCCGTAAGATAACCAAAGATGTGTCGTTTCGTCGCAGACTTCCTTCAAATGAGCACTTACTGTACTCGGCTGAATTAATCTTATCCTTTTCGAGGCTTTTTTTTTTTTTTTTTGGGAGGTTATATTCACAACACTTCCAACTTTAAATTTTTTTCGAAATATATTTTTTATTAAAATGAAGAATTTTATTTTGTAAAAAAAAGAACGGATTAATTATAAAGCTATGAAATTAAAAATTTAGTCTCAATTTTTTACCTATTAAAAAAATTCCAAATTTTTTTAAAATTTAGAATTAAATCTATGCCGTGGTTGCAAGAGTAATTACGAACTAATATAGGTTAAGTTGGATTGGTTTAGAATGGAAATTTTTTTAGATCAATCCAAACTTTTGGATTGGGTTTACATTGTTCTAAATAATATTTTATTTCCACCTATTCCGAGTGCTCAGATAACTGATTATCGAGTGCTGAAGACCACGGACTCAATCGAGTGCTGAAGACCACGGACTCAATCGAGTGCTGAAGACCACGGACACTCAATCGAGTGCCGAAGACCACGAACTCAACCGAGTGTCGAAGACCATGGACTCAACCGAGTGTCGAAGACCATGGACTCAACCGAGTGTCGAAGACCACAGACTCACCAAAGTTGCTGAAGACCACGAACTCACCAGGATTGCTGAAGACCACGAACTCAACCGAGTGCCGAAGACCACGGACTCACTCGAGTGCACACACGAATGTCTTCATCCATGCAAATCAGACAAAAGCCCATTCATACAAAGATCTACAAGAGTGTATGACTTATTGACCACGGACTCACCTGAGTGCACACACACGAATGTCTTCAACCATGCAAATCAGACAAAAGCCCATTCATACAAAGATCTACAAGAGTATATGACTTATTGACCACGGACTCACCCGAGTGCACACACGAATGTCTTTATCCATGCAAATCAGAGAAAAGCCCATTCATACAAAGATCTACAAGAGTGTATGACTTATTGACCACGGACTCACCCGAGTGCACACACGAATGTCTTTACCCATGCAAATCAGAGAAAAACCCATTTATACAAAGATCTACAAGAGTGTATGACTTATTGACCACGGACTCACCCGAGTGCACACACGAATGTCTTCATCCATGCAAATCAGACAAAAACCCATTCATACAAAGATCTACAAGAGTGTATGACTTATTGACCACAAATTCACCGGACTCACCTGAGTGCACACACGAATGTCTTCATCCATGCAAATCAGACAAAAGCCCATTCATACAAAGATCAACAAAAGTGTATGACTTATTACCCTTCTTCAAAGGCCCATATTTGCTTGCTGAGTGCTTGACAATTTTCCTGTTCCCATGTGACTTGAGCGATCTTCAATGGACATGCTAGATCTTCCACCTAGCAAAATTCTTCGTTTATCCATTCATTGATAAAGCTTTGTAAAACCTGAAGGAAAAGGGCAGCTTACAAATACTCCAAATAATGAGGAATTGGGAAGATATATAACTATAAAAATCTGGCAAGAAACCCAATTCGATCATGCAGCAAAGGCGGCTTTCTTTTACTTTACATGAAAACGAAATCAAGAAACTGGTGCGAAAGTAATCTCTTCTTTCTTTTCTAATCTGCTTAGCTTACAGGTTGCCAATTCTTAACCCAGTTCGACAGAGTTTCAACGTTTCTAGCTACATCTTCAACAGTGTCACTCCTTAGATCCACCACTATGTTCTCCTGATAGTTTTCCTTCGCTTCCTCGAGCAATATCTGAAAGATTTCGCATTCAATATTGTTTGAAAGCTTAGCTCCATCGTATCCCCTGCACCACAAACAGAATTCCACAAGCGTTTGAGTAGAGAGCCAAAATGGCGGAACAAAATACACAAACAGAATAATCACAAACAGGAAGTCTTTAATTTTGTTACCTCTTCGTCAAGCGATCATACAAGATCGAGTTCTCGGTCTGGAGAACAACCACACGATCAAACCACCGCTCAGGAAAAAAATCACAACCGTGATAATCCACAATGATTCCACCTTCGTCCATCAAATCCTCCAACTCATCGCAGACCTGAAAGTTTCAGTGCACCTGCAGGTTAGCATCGTCTTATATACAACGGAAAGACCATTAGAAAAAAAGAATCAAGTCTAAAACCACTCTCGATTCGCAATAGCTTACACGACGATGAAATCAGCAGTTCATGCAAGGATTAAAGAAGCAAAAACCTAACCAGATCTTCGTTGATTACATAGCACTGGAGTTCGTCATCCCAGCCATCGTGCAAACTCTTCTCCTTCACAAGGTCCCCAACGGAGACATGACGAAGTTGAGCGGCGTCTGCTAAAGCAGATGACGTTGTTGTCTTGCCGGTTCCAGGAGTTCCGGTGATCAATATATTCGGTCTCTGCCTCTTCCGATCTTGCGCCATCGGAAATTTTCCGGCCTCCACTTTTTACTGTAATTTTCTGTTAACAGTGCGCTTGCTTTTCAGTTTTCTAGGGTTCTTCTTCCTATTCCTTTGGTTCGATCCTCCGAATTCTCTCATCCAATTAAAAAGTGCCACGTCGCCATAATATGTTTTGCTTTTAAAAAATATTTTATTCATTAATTTGGGCTTGTAGCCCATAGCGAAGATGACGATTGGGCCGCTCTCGGCCCATTTACTACCAAGAAGACATCTGCCCCCAGCTACTTTGTTCTAATATAGATTTTAAAAAATTGTATTTTTTTTTAGCGAAAATACAAATATATATATATAGAGACACACACATATATATATTTAAATTTTAATTTCAAAAATACTTTTTAATTTTTCAATAAATATTGCCTTCTATACAATTTTCAAAACTCTATTAGAACCTAAAATGATATTTAAGCAACAGGACATAGACGAAGACTCGAACATAAGTTGATCGTTACTGGTCAATGCCAGAACGTAATTTCTATATAAATTTCTTAACGGTTTCTTTTATAATTGTCGATAATATTGTAACTTTTGAAATAATACAATATATCTGTAGTAAAATAAATCACTAGCTTACATTAAATTGTAGCTTCGAACGGGAATAGTGGGAGTATGAACCATAACCTTGTATAAGATAGTCTTGGTTGACATTTTTAGATGAATTACTCGGGTTTTCGAGTAGGGTCGAGACTAGCATTTGCAGGGCAATTGGAAGCATATTGACAATGTCGACATTTCCATCGTTCTTCGGGAGGAGTACATTCGGGTTCTCGTTGTCCATGCCAGACCTGGAGTGAGGTCTCGAGTTGACTCTTGAGCCAACCATGATCATATGCAAATTCATCTTCCCCGATAATAGATTGATCTTTTTGAGATTCATATCTGCACCATGACAATCAACCATATAATATTGGATCTCTGATGTTGAAACCGTTATTATAATGAAACGCAAAGGACAGGCATCGTTCGAGCGAGAAAGAACTCGTGGCGAAGTATAGAAAGTATTGTGGAAATGTTATGTACCTTAGTAAGAGTTGATTGTGAGTAGGAGGCAACATGCTACAACAGTTTATGTAGTATCTCACTACATCATCAAGGGTCTGTACAAACAAGATCACCAGGTAAACTCGCAATCGTTATGTTACGTAAAATGTTTAAAGAACTTTACGTAAAGTTGGTGTAACAGCTCAAATCCACCGCTAGCAGATATTGTTCGCTTTGGCCCGTTACGTATCACCGTCAGCCTCACAATTTTTAAAACTAGTCTATTACGGAGAGATTTTCGGCCCCTTATAAGGAATGTATTGCTCCCCTCTCCAACCGATGTGGATCTCGCAATTCATCCACCTTAGGGGCCCAGCGTCCTCGCTGGCACACTGTCTAGTTTCTAGCTTTGATACCATTTGTAAAAGCCCAAGCCCACCGTTAGCAAATATTGTCCGCTTCGGTCCGTTACATATAGTTGTTAGCCTCACAGTTTTTAAAATGCATCTATTAGGGAGAGGTTCCCACACCCTTATAACGACTTCATTCCCTTCTCCAACCAATGTGGGATCTCACAATTCACCCCCCTAGGGGCCTAGCGTCCTCACACAACTTAGTATCTGGCTCTGATACCATTTGTAACAGCCCAAGCCTACGGCTAGCAAATATTGTCCGCTTTGGCCTGTTACGTATCGCCGTCAGCCTCAAGGTTATTAAAATATGTCTACTAGAGAGAGGTTCCACACCCTTATAAGGAATGCTTCGTTTCTTCTCCAACCGATGCGGGATCTCACAATCTACCCCCTTAGGGGCCTAACGTCCTCGCAAACACACCGCCTAGTGTCTGGCTCTTGTATCATTTGTAAGAGCTCAAACCCACCGCTAGCAGATACTGTCCATTTTAGCCTATTACATATCGTTATCAACCTCACAATTTTTAAAACACGTCTAATAAGGAGATGTTTCCACACTTTTATAAGAAATGTTTCACTCCCCTCTCCAACCAATGTGAGATCTCACAATCCACCCACATAGGGGCCCAATATCCTCACTAGCACACCACCTAGTACTTGACTATGATACCATTTATAACAGCCCAAGCCCACCACTAGCAGATATTGTTTGCTTTGACCCATTACATATCGTCATCAGCCTCACATTTTCTAAAACGCATCTACCAGGGAGAGGTTCCCACCCCCTTATAAAGAATGCGCTTCATTCTCTTCTCCAACCGATGTGGGATCTCACAATTCACCCCCTTACGAGCCCAACATCCTCATTGACACCCCCCCTAGTGTCTAGCTTTAATACCATTCGTAACAGCTCAAGCCCACCACTAGCATATATTGTCCACTTTGACCCATTACATATCGTCATCAGCCTCACAGTTTCTAAAACGCATCTACTAGGGCGAGGTTCCCACACCCTTATAAGGAATGCTTCATTCTCTTCTCCAACCGATGTGGGATCTCACAATCCACCCCCTTACGAGCCCAACATCCTCGTTGACACACCGCCAGGTGTCTAGCTCCAATACTATTTGTAACAGCCCAAACCCACCACTAGCAGATATTGTCCGCTTTGACCCATTACATATCACCATCAACCTCACAATTTCTAAAACACATCTACTAGGGAGAGGTTCCCACACCCTTACAAGGAATGCTCGTTCCTCTCTCCAACCGACGTCAGATCTCACCGTTAGTATCATTTCTTCATCATCATCATGATTATTACGAAAGAAAAAAGAAGAAGAAGAAGAAGTTAAAAGCTCTACCTTTGCAGTGAAACCAAACGAAACAGTACTGTCGGCAATTTCCTCCGACAAGATGGAATGAGGATTCAAAGAAAAGAAATCAAAAAACTGTCTGGTAGAGAAGCCATCACAGATCAGACAGTCCAATAAGAACTTATAACACATTAATTGAAGCCTGGAAGAACATAGACAGTTAAAGTCAGTATAGTTTCCAAGCAAGATATGAACAAAACAACAGTAAGTAATTACATACTTTCCATTTCTTTGTTGTGGTTCAGCAGGAATTGTATGTCGCATACGAGTTTTTGTGTCTATCAACATTGGAACTTTGCAGGTACCAATCTCCAACATTTGGATCTCATCAATCACACCAACCATCCATACACCTTCTACTAACCCCATTCTGATCCAATGCAAACATAACTTTAGTGAGATCAAGAGTAATGGAAGCTCGAGAGAGAAATAATCCTACTCGGTTTCTTCGTTTTGTTATCCACAAAATGTAAAGTTGGTGTAACAGCCCAAGCCCACCGCTAGCATATATTGTCCCCTTTGGGCTTTCCCTTTCGGGCTTCCTCTCAAGGTTTTTACAACGCATATGCTAGGGAGAGATTTCCACACCCTTATAAAGAATGCTTCGTTCTCCTCCCCAGCTGATGTGGGATCTCACAATCCACCACCTTTCGAGGCCCAGCGTCCTCGTTGGCACTCGCTCCCTTCTCCAACTAATGTGGGACCCCCAATCTACCCCCATACGGGACCCAGCGTCCTTGCTGGTACACCACCTCATGTTCACCCCCCTCCAAGGCTCAACCTCTTTATTGGCACACCGCCCGGTGTCTGCCTCTAATACCATTTGTTACAGCCCAAGCCCACCGCTAGCAGATATTGTCCTCTTTGAGCTTTCCCTTTCGGATTCTCTTCAAGGTTTTTAAAATGCGTTTGTTAGGAAGAGGTTTCCACACCTTTATAAAAAATGTTCCGTTTTCCTCCCAGCCAACGTAGAATCTCACAATTCTCCTATTCATGCACGGAATTGAACCAGGCAGTAGAGCTGCCAGATTTTCAACCTTAAAGTCCCTGAAGTGTAACAAAAATGTCCGACCACAGGCATAACAGTTTATGGGTGTAACTATAATGTCTGCTGATGGACAAACAATATTGATTGGGCAACCGGACACAAAAACGTGAGACTTACACAGGCAGTTCCCGAGTCAATCCTTCAAACAGTAGTTGGTTTACACCAAATGTAAAATTAAGAAGCTTCAAAGCCCAATTATCTTCAGCTGATTTCACCTGAACTTTGACTTTTTTTACAACCTACACGGATTCAAGTAGAATACAATTAAAACAGGTACTTGACACTAAATGCTATAGGCAGCTATCCATAGTGGAACTAACACAGAAAACTCAACCCTAGCATGGTCAAATATGTGATAAATGGTTCAAGCATCACGTGGTTGCAAAAGCCATTTTCGGGGGGCTAAATGTAATAGCCCAAGCCCACCGCTAACAGATATTATCCTCTTTGGCCCGTTACGTATCGTCATCAGCCTCACGATTTTAAAACACGAGAGGTTTCCACACCCTTATAAGGAATGTTTCGTTTCCCTCTCCAACCGATGTGAGATCTCACAATCCACCCCTCTTGGGAGCCAACGTCCTTACTGGCACACCACTCACTGCTTGGCTTTAATACCATTTGTAACAACTCAAGCCTATTGCCATCAACCTTACAGTTTTAAAACACGTTAACTAGGGAGAGGTTTCCCCACCCTTATAAGAAATGCTTCGTTCCCCTCTCCAACCGATGTGAGATCTCACAATCCACCCCCCTTGGGAGCCAACGTCCTCACTAGCACACCGCTCAGTGCTTGGTTCTGATACCATTTGTAACAACCAAAGCCCATTGCTAGCAGATATCGTCCACTTTGGCCCGTTACGTATCGTCATCAGCCTCACAATTATAAAACATGTTGACTAGGGAGAGGTTTCCACACTCTTATAAGGAATACTTCGTTCCCCTCTCCAAACGATGTGAGATCTCATAATCCACCCCCCTTGGGAGCCAACGTCCTCACTAGCACACTGCTCAGTGCTTGACTCTAATACCATTTGTAACAACCAAAGCCCATTACTAACAGATATCGTCCGTTTTGACTCGTTACATATCGTCATCAGCCTCACGATTTTAAAACACGCCTACTAGGGAGATGTTTCCACACCCTTATAAGGAATGTTTCGTTCCCCTCTCCAACCGATGTGAGATCTCACAATCCACCTTCTTGGGAGCCAACGTCCTCACTGGCACACCACTCAGTGCTTGGCTCTAATACCATATGTAACAATTCAAGCCCATTGCTATCAAATATTGTCACTTTGGCTCGTTACGTATCGCCGTCAACTTCACGGTTTTAAAACGCGTTGACTAGGGAGAGGTTTCCACACCCTTATAAGAAATGCTTCGTTTCCATCAAAGATCTCACAATCCACCCCCAGTTGGGAGACAACGTTCTCACTAGCACAAAACTTGGTGCTTGCCCCTGATACCATTTGTAACAACCCAATCCCATCACTAGCAAATATCGTCTGTTTGGCCCATTACGTATCACTGTCAGCCTCACGATTTTAAAATGCGTCCACTAGGGAAAAGTGTACACACCCTTTAAAGAAATGTTTCGTTCTCCTCTCCAACCGACGTGGGATCTCACACAAACTAACGTTATATTCTAGAAGTAATCAACAGCTATACTAAAGAACATCCACAAATGAAATGTGCAATCTGAAGACTAGAAGTTTACCTCTGATTCAAGCATGGCGTGGCGTGCAATACCTGCTTCCATAGCTTTTGTTTTCTTCCTAACTCCAGAAAGAAGACATAACTCCATCTGTTTTTCACACCATTCCTGCATATACCATATCAGGACAAATCACATAAACAAACAAATTTAGCTCTTCAAAGTTCAATCCGATCAAATCAAATCAACATCTAAACAAGAAATTCATACCGTGCGAGTAATATCAGTGACGGCCAACCCCTTAGTCCTTCTAAAACGTTGCAGAAGCGATTCATTGACTTTGATCTTCTTCTGGGTACTCGAAGATTTGCAGAGATCCTCGATATCTAGCTGGGAAGAAGGGAGGCCCCTTTTGGATAGAAGAGTAATAGAGTGAATAGACCTGGTGTTAAAGAGATTCTGAGACGAACAAGAAGGTGGATGAATGGCGGAGCTTGAAGATCGAGCAGTGGTGACGGCGGCGGCTAAGGCAGCTTCGATTAGGGCCATTTCCTCGTCGCTCACGATCTCAACCGGAATATTTGGGACGTCTTTGTGGGTATTGTCGTCGTCGTTAAATGGCGGTAACCCGGAACTTGAATCCGCCATTTTTGGTCGATCCAGTGAAATGAGTTGGGGGATCGTGGACAGGTTACCGTTGCAATCGCCATGTTGTTGGAGTTTTAAGGATTTAAAAGCTTCTCCGAAAAGACAGAAAGACAAAAGGCGGAAGATATTATTGAAGAACACAGATTTCCTTCGCGCTATCAATGTTAATGAATAACATTAAATAAAGATAAAAATAATTGAAATTTAATTTTATAAATATTTTATAAATATTTAATATTTCAACTAAAATATATTTTATTTATCATTATAATTACAGTAAGACCATTGAAAAATATTATAACCTAACTGAAGGAATAATTCTATTAACACTCGATATACTTCGATTTAGTTTCCATTAAAAATACTAAAAATGATTTTTTTTTTTAGTTAAGAAAAAAACTAAAATGATTTAAATCAATAGCTAACACGAACTTAGACCCTTAAAATGAAAATAATAATAATAACAATTTATTGAAATTAAGTAAAAATGAAGATAAATTTAATATTTAGCTTTTCTCATAATTATTTTACACGTCACCCATCCTTTATCTAGGTTGAATTTTTAGTTAAAAAAATTTGCGTCATTTCATGGGTTGACATTTTCTATGGTCGGGTCAACTCAATCAGCTAAAAATAAAGTTACAACTCATCCTTATCCTATAAGATACACCACTTAGCAGATATTGTCTTCTTTTGGACTTTTCCTTTCAGGCTTCTCCTCAAGATTTTAAAACGAGTCTGTTAGAGGAGGAAGGTTTCCACACCCTTATAAATGGTGTTTTGTTCTCCTCTCCGACCAATGTGGGACATCACATATCCTAGGTCAAAGATAAAAATATTTGACATTTATAACAAAAATTAGAGATGCATTAAAACTTGTTTGATATTTTAAATTTTAATGATTATCGAATGGTAAATAAATACGATTTTTTAAAATAACTTAAAAAAGAGAACCATTAAACTCAATTAAACTCATCGAGTACCATGTATGAAGAGGAAATTGAGCCGATTAGCAACCACACCGAACCGATTAGCAACTACACCTGCAAATAATAGGAGCACGAAACCTCGTTATTATAAATTAAGTTATTGAATATTTTAAATAAGTTATAAATTCAAGACTCAATGTTAGTCCAATAAAAACCTAAAATTCTTAATAATAAATCAAAATCTCGGAGGGATTAGTTCGAGTTACAAACGCCTTTCAACACGTTTAACAAGCATTTGTCGCCCAAAAACCTAAATCACCTGGCTCCAATTTCAGCCGAAGTCCAGCCTATGACAAAATTTGTGTCATAGCAACAAAAGAACATGCACAGAAATGAAACAAATGGCGAGTGTTTTTAGCTATCCAAGTGAGCGACTCTATCCTGGTCTGAATGTCCCTAAAACATCTCAACTGTGTCGAAATTAAAACCCGCCACCAAAACTCAGAAACTTGCATGATCGACACGCGTCTTCCTCAATCTTCTGAGCTTCGTCTTCATAAAGCCTCACCAACTCCACTCATTACCAAAACCAGAAAATAACCCAGAAACACCTTCGGCGAAGATAGGAAGAAACAGAGAGCAAAGATGGGGAAGAAAGAAGCCCTTGTGATGCTGTTGATTATTGCTGTTCTGGGAAATGCGATTGGGATTAAGGAGGAAGCAGAAGCAGAAGAAGAAGAAGAATGGTGGAGAGAGAGAGAGGAAGAGAGGGAGTTTAGAAGTAAAGAACGGTTTCTGCTAGAGGATTCGAAGCGGGTGATAGAGACAGAAGCAGGAGAAATGAGGGTGATTAGGAGTCCGGCTTCAAGAATTCTTGACAGGCCCATGCATATCGGCTTCATCACCATGGAACCTAAGTCCCTGTTCGTCCCTCAGTATTTGGACTCCAGCTTGATTCTCTTTGTCCGCAGAGGTAATTGCAGTCTTCTTTCTCAACTCCTTCTTCTTGCTTACATGCATCCTTAAGTCACCATTAAAGAACTCGAAAGGCACTTTACCACAATGAACCAATAAAAATGATTTTCAATATTCAATAAGGCCATGCAAGTTCGTCCTTCTTGAGTTTTTAAAACGTATCCTGCCTGGGAGAGATTTCCAACTCTTATAAACTCTTATAAAGAATGCTTTGTTTCTCCTCTCGAACGGATGTGGGATCTCGCCCTTGCTGGCACTTTGTTCCCTTCTCCCATCGATGTGAGATCCCTCAATCCATTCCTTTGGTGGCTTAGCCTCTTTGTTGGCATATTGTCCGATGTCTAGCTCTTTTATCATGGTTCAAGGCATCGCCCACCGCTGACGGATATTGTCCTCTTTGGATTTTTCTTTTTGGGGTCCCTCTCAAGATTTTTATAACCCGATTGATAGGGAGATGGTTTTACATCTTTATAGAGAACGCTTCATTCTCCTCCCCAATCATGTGGGATCTCACAATTGGCCCTGCATTCCAAAATATGTATGGGCTCATATATAAATTTGAGATATCACTCCCTCAAATTCCAGCTTTTGGGTCCCTCACTGAATAATCTTTTCAAGAAAAGGGATTCAAATACAGGACCCATGTAAATCTATTTCACAATCCTAACATGCATTTAGTTTTTGGAAGCTAGAGTGTGAATGAAATGGGAAATTTTCAGCCAATTGAAGGGAAAGGGAAATGTAAATGGTTGCAGGGGAAGTGAAAGTGGGATTGATTTACAAAGACGAGTTAGCAGAGAGGAGGATGAAGGGCGGAGATGTGTACCGGATCCCAGCCGGTTCAGTATTTTACATGGTCAACGTAGGGGAAGGACAGAGACTTCAAATTATCTGCAGCATTGACAAATCTGAGAGCTTGAGTTATGGTACTTTCCAGGTAATTTCTAAACTTGGTCATAATGGGGGTTGGAATCCCCGAATTCGGAATTAGTAATGAAATTTTGATTGTTTTTTTGTACAATTGCAGTCCTTCTTCGTCGGCGGAGGAACCTATCCGGTATCAGTTCTAGCAGGTTTCGACCAGGATACATTGGCTACAGCATTTAATGTAAGAAATTCGACTAAAATCCCTAATCTGCTTCTCTAATTTTGAAACATTATACTCACAGCGCTCGGCTTGTCGTTAACTATGGATTTTCACTCATCAATTTACTCCACAGGTTTCCTATACAGAATTGAGGAGGATTCTATCAAGGCAACGACAGGGTCCAATCGTTTACGTCTCGGATACTGAATCGCCGGGGGTTTGGAGTAAGTTTCTGCAGGTGAAAGATGGAGAAAAAGGAAATCAAATATCTAACATCAATGAAAATGGCGAAGAAGCAGAGAAGAATAAGGCATGGTCATGGAGGAATCTCATGAGTTCGATCTTTGGAAACGAAAATCGGGACAAAACAAAAAGAACAAGAACAGGAAAATCCCCCGATTCGTACAACCTCTACGACAAAACCCCAGACTTCAGTAACGCCTACGGATGGAGCGTTGCCCTAGACGAGCACGAGTATTCTCCTCTAGGTCACTCCGGAATCGGAGTTTATCTCGTCAATCTCACAGCGGTAAATCTAATCCACCGAATCCCTAATTGTCCTCTCAATTAGTTTACGTACCTCCCTCGATGTTCGATTCAATACGAATGACCTCTATTACAGGGATCCATGATGGCGCCGCACATAAATCCAACCGCGGCAGAGTACGGCATCGTCCTCAGAGGCACAGGCACAATACAGATCGTATATCCAAACGGAACCTCCGCCATGGACACAGAAGTAACCGAAGGGGACGTCTTCTGGGTTCCAAGATACTTCCCATTCTGCCAAATCGCATCGAGAACAGGTCCATTCGAGTTCTTCGGATTCACCACGTCGTCGCGCAAGAATCGACCGCAGTTCTTGGCCGGTGCGAATTCGATTTTCCACACTCTAAGAAGCTCGGCAGTGGCAACAGCATTCGACATAACAGAGGACGACCTCGACCGGTTGCTGAGCTTGCAGTACGAGGCGGTGATTCTGCCGTCAGCGGAGATTGCGCCGCCGCACAAGGAGGAGGAGAAGAGGAGGAGGAGAGAGGAAGGAAGGAGGGAGAGGGAACGGGAAGGCGAAAGGGAACGGGAAAGGGAAGAAGAGTGGACGAGGCGATTTGGAGCGTTTTGATTAGTGGAATGGAAAATGGCGGGAAATAAAAATATAATTTCCATTTCTTTCTTTTTTTTTAATTTCAGTTTCGTCTCCCTTTAGGGTTTGTTCATAAGCTTCCAGTCTGTTAATAAAACTCGTTTACTTTTTATTTCTTATTTTTATTTTTGTTAAACGTAATTTTTTAAATATTTTTCTTTTAAAAAATACCTTTTTACTCTATAAATTGTTTTTATGAATTTTATTTTTAAATTCATTTACAATTTTAGAAATTAAATTAATTAAAAATATTAAAATGTTATGCTATGACACGTGGCGTCCTTCTTCTAATAAATTTAATTTCCAATTTAATAATTTAACTATATTTATCAAAAGAAAACTCAATTTGGAAGTGAATATTTTATTATGTTATTTAAAAAAAGGAAATAAACGAGAATTATTGAAATCGATCCACGCATTTGTCCGGTATCCAGTCTACTTTAAGAAGTGAAGATTATAACCGTTGGATCATATCCCTCAAAATCCGACGGATGAGGAAGAAACCCTAGGCAGCTATGCGTCATGGAGATCTCCTATACATAGTCTAAGAGCTCCACCATTCTTCATCTCCTTCCTCTTTTGTAACCCTCGTTTCTTGATTCGGCGGCAGCTTATCTCATTCATCAATCTTCATCTTTTGAGGTTTGATTCTTATCTCATTCATCAATCTTCATCTTTTGAGGTTTGATTCTATCTTAGCTTGATGATTTGTTTTTGTCTAGGATTTAATTGCTCTTTATGCATGCATGACGTTTAATCCATTTCTGTATGGCGGATTCGTTTTGATGTGTAGATCTATTTAGGTGTTGATTCGTTTTGGAGGATTCTGAATTTTATCGTCTTTGATTTAGTTTGTGGCATTTTTTAATGTTTGTTTCGGTCTAGGAGGATTGGTGTTCTGTTTCGCATTTGTTGAACGAGACGATGGTTGTTGCGATTATGTACAAGGTATTATCATCATTGAATAATGTTATGACATTTAGATGATCTTGGTAATATTCGTTGAGTTGATTTGGTTTTCGTTTTCTTTTAATTTTAAAAGGAATTGTCATTGATAATGTGTTTTCTGTTCTCACGTCCTAAAAGATCCGCGAACTGGATTACGTTTTTTTTTTCTTTTCTGGATTTAATGGAAATATATCGATAAGGTATCATTTGAATTACCTGTTCGGTGAACGTTGTTCGTTAAACTGAGCGATTGGTTTACAATTATTGATCGTTTCAGGTTACAATTTCAAAATGGGAAAAGAGAAGACTCACATCAACATTGTGGTCATTGGCCATGTCGACTCTGGGAAGTCTACCACCACCGGACACTTGATCTACAAGCTTGGTGGTATCGACAAGCGTGTTATTGAAAGGTTTGAGAAAGAAGCTGCTGAGATGAACAAGAGGTCATTCAAATATGCCTGGGTGTTGGACAAACTAAAGGCTGAGCGTGAACGTGGTATTACCATTGATATTGCTTTGTGGAAGTTCGAGACCACCAAATACTACTGCACCGTTATTGATGCCCCTGGACATCGTGATTTCATTAAGAACATGATTACTGGTACCTCACAGGCCGATTGCGCTGTTCTCATTATTGATTCCACTACCGGTGGTTTTGAAGCCGGTATCTCTAAGGATGGTCAAACTCGTGAGCATGCTTTGCTTGCGTTTACTCTTGGTGTCAAGCAGATGATCTGCTGCTGCAATAAGGTGAGAATTCTTCACATATATGGCTTTTTATCCTGTTAGTGTAACATTATCGTCCTTTAGTTTTCATTTGTAACTTACATTTTGCTTTTACCCTTCGTTTCATAGATGGATGCCACCACCCCCAAGTACTCCAAGGCAAGGTATGACGAAATTGTGAAGGAAGTTTCTTCCTACCTCAAGAAGGTTGGATACAACCCTGACAAAATCCCATTCGTGCCCATCTCTGGTTTCGAAGGAGACAACATGATTGAGAGGTCAACAAACCTCGACTGGTACAAGGGTCCAACCCTCCTCGAGGCTCTTGACTTGATCCAGGAGCCCAAGAGGCCCTCGGACAAGCCACTCCGTCTTCCACTCCAGGATGTGTACAAGATTGGTGGTATTGGCACTGTACCCGTTGGACGTGTTGAGACTGGTGTACTCAAGCCTGGTATGGTCGTCACTTTTGGCCCATCTGGATTGACCACTGAAGTTAAGTCTGTGGAGATGCACCATGAAGCTCTCCCAGAGGCTCTTCCTGGCGACAATGTCGGATTCAATGTGAAGAATGTTGCTGTCAAGGATCTCAAGCGTGGTTTCGTTGCTTCCAATTCAAAGGATGATCCTGCCAGGGAGGCTGCCAACTTCACATCTCAGGTCATTATCATGAACCACCCAGGGCAGATTGGCAATGGTTATGCCCCAGTTCTCGATTGCCACACCTCTCACATTGCCGTGAAGTTTGCTGAGATTCTGACCAAGATCGACAGGCGATCTGGTAAAGAACTTGAGAAGGAGCCGAAGTTCTTGAAAAATGGTGATGCGGGTATGATTAAGATGGTTCCCACCAAGCCCATGGTGGTGGAAACCTTCTCCCAGTACCCACCTCTTGGACGTTTTGCTGTGAGGGACATGAGACAGACCGTGGCTGTGGGAGTCATCAAGTCGGTCGAGAAGAAGGATCCAAGTGGTGCCAAGGTTACCAAGTCCGCAGTGAAGAAGGGTGGAAAGTGAACCGTAGTGGGAAAACCTCAGCTGGGTCTGCCTGAGGTTTACAAGTATAAATGTCGAAATAAAGACCTGATGGTTTTTCGTGGTGGTGGTGGTGCTGCTTTATCGAGTCTTTTTATCTACTTTTGTGATTATAGTTGTTGGCGTTGGTCATTATTAGGTACCCAGTCCCAGAATTGGGTGCTTGATAGACGGTGGCGCAGCTATATGGCTCAAAAGGTCTTTTTTTGTGTTGTTTGTTGTTTGGTCTTCTGCTCTTATCGCCCTGTTGCTCTAAAGTTTTCGAGTTCTATGTTTCTGCTGAGATACTCATAATATTACTGAACACTAAATGTCGTTGCTTATATTGTCATTTCTGAATCGCCTTATTTCTACTTCATTTCATGGCACATATAATGGTTCTATTCGTTGTTTGTTTGGTCATTCTTGCTAAAACCCGTTCAAATTTTAATCTAAAGCCAAGCTTTTGCAATGTAACCCAGTGGGTTACCAACCAAACCATCTGGAAAAAGAGTAGAGTTTAGTTGAGTTAGATTTTTTTTTCTAATTTGGGTGTATTCAATCTTTTTTTAAAACTGAAAATTTGATCTGTTTTATTGAACTAGGTTCAATGTTAATAACCGGATAATAAACATTGACTTGTAAATGTTTTGTATTGAAATTTTTTAAATTTTAGTAAAAATAAACATTGACTTATAAATGTTTGGTATTGAAAATTTTGAAATTTTAGTAAAAAATAAAGATTTTGTAACGACCCAAGTTCACCTTTCTATGAGGTTTTCTTTGGGCTTTCCTTAAGGTTTTTAAATGCCTTTGTTAAGGAGAGTTTCGCCCGATATCTAGTTCTGATACCATTTGTAACAGCTTGAGGCTACCACTAGTAAATATTATCTGCTTTCCACATTCTTACAAATAATGTTTGTTCCCAGTCGATTTAACCCCGAAAATAAATGTGAAAAACCAAACAACTAATTCGAAGTTTTGACTTTGGTCCAACAAAATTTTCAAATACACCCAAACTGCGGCTGTCTTTGAAGCTTGAATAGAGCTGGCTGGTGACGTAGGAGGAGTGAGCTCAGACATGATATTGTAAATGCAATTGAAAACTACGCAGCTGTCTTTAAAGAGACCTGAAGCCTCAACCACCAGAAATAAATAACAAGTAAGAATGATTTAGTTGACTTTTCCAGCTGCAAATAATGCATTCAGAAATTAAATATGCACCAAACATAAGACGATGAAGCTGGATCTCAATCTAGATGGGAAGATGGAAGCTTTTCTCTATACAATTTAGAAGCAACACAGATTGGTCTGCAACAAAACCAATGGAAGGCTTACTTCGCAGGAGAGATGGTACCGACACTTGTTCCTAATCCGAGTTCCAGTGTCGGCATCATATCTTCTACGGAGCAAGCCGAAGATTTGAATATACAATGCGAAGAATGGTGCCCCAAGTTCATCTATCTTCTCCTTTAGAGGTACGAGAATGTTCGTAATGTTAGGTAACACAAATATTAGATCTCTTTTTCACTTAAACTTTCGATTTAGTATTTGATGTCTTATTGTATTATGCTAGCTAAACTCTTACATGTCTTACATGTCGTTTACTTATATTGTAGTTTAGGACTTGGATTAGTGTCGATATCCAAATTCCTTTCGAAGTATCAGCATAACGTCTCGATCTATTTAGTTTCAACTTTCAACCTCACAAATCAGAGCTTTTCCCACAACAAACTAGATTGAACTTTACTTCATGTGAATCAAAGGGTTCAAGCAATTGAGTAGGCAGATTCATAATGGAAAAGCAACCGGTTGTGATCATAATAATATCAAGAAAATCAAATCAAACATTCCCCAAGTTGGATATAGTTGATAGTTCAAGTAGAGATTCCATACAAATCCAAAGAACGAAGTATCTAAGATGCATCTAACTTAGATCTATCAATTGTTGCGCCCCAAACAGCGACTCACCGAAATGGAATCTCGGATAAACGACGAAGCTTCGATCTACCATGACCCTTCAGCACCCGAAGTCGGATTCTCGAAAGCAGAGTAGTTCCAGAATGTTTTCAAAGAGTAGGGTTGGGAGATTGTCACACCTTCTTCAGTTATTTTTGCAATCTGTAAATTTCATATTCAAATGTATGTGATGATGAGAATAACATCCAGACATTGAAGTCTTATAATCAGTGAACAAAACATGTGTTCCAGAAACTAGAAAGTAGCTATTATAATGGGCTGAAACACATAGTGATCTAACTCTTTATGATCTTAAAATCTAATGAGTTTCTATGAAGATCAAATGTTAGTGTTGGATGGCTATTTTATGAGATTTGTCGATACGCGCAGACGAGAATCACACGCTCACAAAATATATAGCAAAGAAAGCAATGAAGGTAGCTCATAGAAAAATCCAAACCTGGAGCTTGTTGACAGCCGATCTATCACGGTATAAGAGAACCCTCATGCATTTCTCCAGCAATTTCACACCTTCTTCAAAAGTCAGGTTCTCGTGCCACTCATCACGAAGAATTGGTCGTGCAAGGTGATTGCCAAAGCCAGTAGTAACATGATCATCTTCAAAAGTTACACCTATCATATTAACCTGAATAAAAGTGGCTAAATGTTAGCTGATGAAGCATCTTATTTTAGAACGGATATTAGGAACTTATTTTAATGAATGCGAAGAGAACCAAAGATCTACCGTGCCAAGATACTTTTGCCCGTTCTTCACCCCACCGAGAACAAGCGAGTTCCAAAGTGGGTTGAACTTGTTCCGCCTGTTATACATCACTCGAGTTAAGTAGCTATGGATCTCCTTTGGCCCCAAAGCATTACCATCATCCCACATGTTATCATACAAGCTGCACCATTCGATACAATTAGAGATTACACTCAAGTTCTAAATCAAAATAGACGCACGAAACAAGCAACTGAATTCCGATGCAGAACAGCATCATAATCAAAGAGATAGAATAAGGAAAACATCTAGGCTTACATAAGCTCATCAAGATTTCTCAATAACTCCTGAAAGTCACTAATTTCTCCGCTTGCTCCAAGTAGAGAATGTTTTCCAATAGCTTTGATTCGCTCCACACTCTTATACCGCAGTGTGGAACCATAGGAGCCTGTAGTTAGTTAAAGCGCCATATAAGTAATACAGACTGGTTTGCCTTATAATTTGGCAATACATACATCAGAGATTCGAAATCACATAAAGAAAGAAACATCACTTCCAGAAGTGTTTTGTTATCAGCAAATAAAAAGTGATAAACATGCTGAGAAACATAATAAAATGAACAGTTCACTGGATGTTGAAATATAAAAAATGGAGAAGATTTTCGACTGACCTCCCAAATCAGAAACCATTAAAATCCCATCTTTGTATTTGATGGCAACCACGGATGTACCAGTCACATAGGGATACCTATTAGACAGAAGAAGTAGTCGATTTTAATACCTCGATTTGTCCATTCATTCACTGCTTAACTCTAAATTCGAATCTTAGGTCTTTAGAACCCTAAAATTCCCAGCTCTAGAATACGAAACGTATAGTCTAACACCAAAAAGTAACCACAGAAACAGAGAGAGAGAGAGAGAGAGAGAGAGAGATCGTACTGAGTTCTTTGAATTGGAGCTTCGGGGCAGAGAAGACCGTGGTTCGCCTGGTTAGAATCAACGGACTGCATTGAAAAATCGGAAGATCGATGAATGTTAGAATCGGAATGTAATGAGGAATAGAAATTTGAGTTTCAGCTGATGAACTTACACTCATATTCGGATCGATTAACTTCGGCACAATGGATTGGGAACAGAATCAATGTCGAGCGTCGCAGCGAAGTCGGAGTCTTTCGACTGCTTTAGTAGAGCTCTTCTTTTCCCTCCGCACAAGAAATGATCTTTCCCGTTCAGATCGTTCTCTTTCCCAGAAGTGGCCCTAAACGTCGTCGCTTTAATCCTTTTATAATAATCTCGTCCTTTTATTTTGAGAAAAATGATTTTTTTAAGTTAAAAAATGAAAATAAATAAATAAAGAGAAAATTACATTTTCCCTCTCCACCTCGATATATATATATATATATAAAATAATTGAGCTATACTTAAATTGACTTCCAAATTAGATTCACAACTTCATCTTTCCATCTTACTTTCTTCCAAATTAGATTGACAAAAGAGAACTAATGATATTGAAATACAGTCGATTCAATATATTTTTTTTTACATTGAGAACACATTTGTGGAAAATCTTTTGTAATAGTTCAAGCTCACGCTAATAGATATTGTTCTTTTGTAATAGTTCAAGCTCACGCTAATAGATATTGTTCGCTTTGGTCCGTTACGTGTCATCGTCAGCCTCACAATTTTAAAACGTGTCTACTAGAGAGAAGTTTAGAAAGAAATTTCTACATAATTATAAGGAATGTTTCCCTCTCCAATCAACCTGAGATCTCACACATCTTTCATGTTCAAACTTACGAGTCATACAAGCACGAGTATGTAACCGATCGACTACTCCAATATGCAAAACAATATAAAACAGATGCAGGAACTAATGAAATGAGAACGATGATCATCGATAGCTCGTTGTTCAAAGTACAATGAGAGAGCTTTTACTCTCATTGGATTGCTTCGAAGAAAACGTCCCACATTCTTATACCCAATATTTCAAAAGATAGCAACAAAACAAAAATTGTTACAAGCAGCTGCTAAACAAATTTATGATCTTCTACAAAGTTCAAAATCTTCAATATCATACCTTACACACTATCCATTAGAAAGCAGAGGTTTGAAACAACAGATTCCAACCTATGGGGCAGAAAGACACAAAGCTAAACACGACGCCGTTCATGGCAGCAAAGCTACCGACGACTTCGACTCAACAGACAGAACGACGATAGATATGGAAAACACATAAATAAATACACATCTTGATTATTAGTTAAACTCTTACTACTGTTGGAGATGAATCAGGTTGGCCCACTGAAGACGATTTTGATGCTTCCATACACAAAGCAGCTTGATCTAAGCAGCTTTGAGTATCATCACTGATCACTCCATTTGTCATCTTTTCCACTTCTTCTTCTGTGTATATGTGGATTTTCGAAACAGCATCACAGAAATCACTGCACACCATGAATGATATTCAAAACTTGAATTTGTTTATGAACTAATATTTGCTGTAAGATGATATCAAGATATAGCACTTACTGCCATGGATAATCCCCGACCACCATTACGTCGTTCTCGTTGTCGGTGTACAATACACGCCATCCTTTATCGGGATCTTTTAAGAGTCCTTCCATGCTAAACAGGCGTTCGAGTTCAGAAAGCAGATCAGTATAGCCATTCAGTCTAGAGAGATCAATAGCTCTTCCCACTAGGCTGCCTTGTTTGTGAACCTTCACTTAATAAGAGTAATATCAGCATGGAAGAAGCAGAGAGTTAAAAAAACGCTTCGAGAGCCATAAGAACAAGTCTATCTTCGGATTCTCTCTCGAGCGTGAAAGAGAGATTTGGTAATTCCAGATGTTTCCATGAACGGAAAAATGAACATACTGACCTTTCTTACCTTCGTACAACTTCTCTTCCCTGAACTTTGCATGTTTGTAGCAGTTTCTGTAGTCAAGGAAAAGCCGAAAAGTTTACAGCCAGTTCGGTTCTCGTTCACGTTTTCGTCCTTTGAATTCCTCATATTCGACCCTAAAGTTGGAGGAGTAGAATTAGCCCTTTCCATTTTTGCTGATGGGTTGGACAAGGCACTCTCTCTTGGAAAATTGATATCATTTGAGCTCATCATGGCAGCTTGGCCAGTACTGTAAATATCACGATGAGGGTAATACATGTTTCGGGCGCCATTTGACGCCATGTGATAAAAGCTCGAGTTCGGTGATTGAAATGGGTTAAAAGAGTTGTCACTGAGATTGAACTTTCCCCAAACACCTAAACTAGGCTCTGGTTTTCTTGTTTGTGGCCTCAATGAGCATATTTCTTGACCTTGCAAGACCTTCAGAAATCTATCAGATTCCATAAAGCCTGTGAAAGAAGTTACATAATCACCTATATTAAGCTTTTCAACTCCACCTGACGCTTGATTTTGTTGTGCAGAAGATCGCACCTCAAACTCCAGTGAGCGTTTTGCGGTATCACAACCGTAAAAGGGCGATACCATACCTACATTTTCTTGACCTTGCAAGACCTTAGAGGATCTAACTGAATCCTCAAAGTCCATAAAACCGCCCCTCCCTAATGCAAGAAAAGTTTTAACAACTCGAGTTTAGAAGAAACAAAGCTATCATTTCAATTTCGACGCTCGTACCATTAAAGGCGTTATTAGGTGGGGCTTCCTGCAGACTAGTCCTCAGTTTCTTCAGCCTTGGAGAAGACTGAACACTCAAGGGTGGGAGAGAAACAGAAGGATCAATCTCCCAGGGCGAAACGCGTTCTTGATGATCACTGTCTTTATCCCATCGGACCTGATCGATTATAAAGCAATTGCTTGCAGTTAAAGAAATGGGCTTTTGTTTAATTAGAATAGATATGGGGACTGTAATCCTTACCGTTAAGCATCTCCATTTCGAGTTCGACCATCGAAAGGGATCCATGTCACCAATACCGACAACTACACCATTAAACCTGCAAGAAACAAATACTGATAAATATATTTGTATATAAGAATCATTGTACGAAGTAAAGCACGTTGATCTTGCTCGTGTATGGATAAACCTCCTTTCTGGCGAATCGTCCATCTCAAATCTCATTTTGAATCTTGTGCCTACGTTCACTGGATTGTTGATGCTCTTCACATACTTCTGACAAGATACAACAAATTGTGCATGAT